CGTGGTTCTGTTCACTCAAATACTTTACTTTCATATGCCTTATCTGTACTTTAATAGTTGAGAGAATAAGTTGCTTTTTGTAGTCATATGTGATTACAGTTCTTAAGAGATTTGTATAACTTAGGTGCCTAATCGTTACTAGTGCAAGCATGACCCTAGAGCCCTGGAGAAGCGTAGATTGTTCAAGAATTTTGGGAATGCTGATGAGAGGTAGTTGACGTACTGTTGACGATGATGAAATAATTGATGTCATCTTCGACAACTTACTAGATTTATTCAGAGTGTCGACATTCGACGAACGTTATAAATCATAGATTCATAAAATATTGATTTGCAAACATGTTAGTTGCTTTTGGAAGCGGTGTGGTGCAGTCAGAAACTTCCAGAACGCTTCTTTTGCACACTCACCTCTGATGTTGGATTTCACGAACGTTTATAATGAAAATTTTTACACTTACAGCCTAGGCTGAGTAATTTCTGGACCTATTTTGTAAAAGAGAGCATGTTATTCCAACACAATACACAAATACTAAATGTTCCAGAGTCTGGACCAATATCTGTTGCACCTACTGTGACTGCTTTTGCAGTGGATGTATGGGCAACTTCACTCCCTTCTTTTGTTTCAGTTTGCGATCTTTCTGAAGACGATACGTGGGTTGCTTCAATATGAGGTAAATTGAAAACTAATTAAATTTAAATCAGAGATGAGTGTGCAAAAAATATTGTATGCACCTCGGCCGCGAAGTGACTTTTTCGAGCTCGGAACAGTATCAATCCAAATTTACCCGCCTCGCTCGAAAAATCACCACTTCATGGTCTTCATACATGAACTTTTATTCTGTGCATGATTTTTTTCTAAAGGGTAGGCATCACCTAAATGTTTAGTTGGAGAATCTTTTATGCAGACCAAAAAATTTAAGTTGGTAATGATCAATAACATAACTTTTCGATAACAAAGTTTTCGTTTCACATTATGAAATTATTTCAGGCACACTCTGCATGTTAGAACAGTTTTATCAGTCGTTAAAAACAATAAGTAGAGCCAAATTCTTCAGATAAATAACAGTTTGGGAGCCCTGGATGTACGGGTGCATGAGCGGCATTTTTCCTACATGTCCTTTAGCGGATTTCCAGAAGCCAAACAAAAAAAGTGTCATTAACTCGGCCTCCGCTTTTTCATAAAGTTATTTAGAAAAACACTGTGCATGATTTTTAAAGTTGCGAGCGGAAGCCTAGTTTGGAGACGGAGGGCGGGCGGTGAGGGCGAGCGCGCGAACAGGGAAGGGGGCTCTCTTTGAGCGGCGGCGACGGCGGCGGCGGCGTTTGGGCGCCGACGACGCTAATCGGTTCCCCGAGCGTGGCGGGCGGTGTGAAGGAGGCGTAAGGGGGTGGAAGGCGGCTCAAGGAGGCTTCGCCGCGTGCGCCGCTGCGCAGACGAAGAGCACACAGCGTTGGATGAAGCTGCGCACGACGTCCTGTCGGCGCCATTCTCCACCATCCAGAAAGCGCCCTCAAGCGCGAGCTCGTCCTCAAGCGCTTCCTTCCACGCGAAGGTCCGAGACGCAGTCGTACGGTACACGCGTGCACGCGCCATCGCAACGCTGCCGCACAGCCGCGCCACACCGCAACCCACGCGCCACCCACGCCACGCCACGCACGCGCACACGCCACACCGCCACGCGCACACGCCACGCGTCAACGTGCCACGCGCCACACCGCCACCTCACGTGCCCACGGTGCCCGCGCCCACGGCCACGCCCACGCCCCATGCCCACGCCCCACACCCCACGCTCCATGCTCCATGCCCCATGCCCCATGTCCCATGTCCCATGCCCCACGCCCAATGCCCAACGCTCCGCGGTCCACGCCTCGCACCCCACGCCCTACATTTCCTGCGTCACGTGCACACGAGACCACACTCCACGGTGAGAATGTACGCCTCTAACATTCTCAACCACCATGCAATCAATTCATCAGGTGCGGATCCACGAGTAGGGAAATCCCCACCATAAAATTCTTCAGTAAATATTAATTTTAATTGTCACAAAACTTTCAAGCAGAAATATTTTCGGATAAACATTGAAACGAATACGATCGTATCGCGGCACGAGCTGAGTGTATCCTGCGACATTTTACAAAACATGTAATATGACACATTCGAGCAAAACATTTTTAATTTCCCCTTCCAAAATTTGTCTCCGGATCCTCCCCTGATACATGTACTTGAGCTCACACTGCATGGCCAGGTGGACGTTTAGAATGTACTTCTGTAACATTCACGACCACCATGCAATTGAATCGCTTTGTGTAGAAACCTCTAAGCCTTTCATACCTTTTGGTATATGTTTGCCACATAATGTAATATAGACACATCTACTAGTAGAGAAATTCCTCATAGACACTGCGATCTGTGGGTGTAATGTCTGACTAAAGTTTTCGTTTGATGCAGAATCGGGTATAAAGTAATTCAGATTTTTTTCTTTTCCTGGAAAATTGTGAAGAGAGGAAATGATTTTTTGCCACAAACGATTCAATAGATTCATGCACATGAGCTCACAATGCATTGCGAGGTGATCGTTAAGAGTGTACATCTGTAACATTCACGACCACTATGCAATTAATTTATACACACGAATGCACACAGTATGGCAAGATGGACGTTAAGAGTGTACCTCTAAAATTCGTGATCTCCAAGCATGTAATTAACTTGGAATTTTTCAGGAGGAGTTAACCAACAACTAAATTCATTTAGCTTGACAATGTTTCTAAATATTATTATTTTCCAATCACGGCCCGTTACAAATATTATTAATATATTACTTAAAATATTTAAAGCATTTGAAGAGGAAATAATTTTTTGAGGTAGGGAATTAATGTAGTACTTTTTCAAAAAATAGTGTTCCTTCTCAAATGTTTCATGTACTATATTAATCAGTGAAGTAACGGTATTTTTTATGAAATCTACAGCCCCGATAAGAGAACAATGAAATTCAGACACGTCGGCAACCTAAATTAATCGAGTCATTGACTAATTGCTCATAAAAATTTCAAATGAATTTATAAGTGTTAATATCTATTTGAGATATTTTTGTTTATTTCCCTTAACTGCTTTTTATGAGATACTTTTGAGTTTGTTTTATTAAGTTATTTGCTTAATTTCTTCTTTCAGTCAAACATATGCTTTTCAGGATTGCTAAACATCTTTCTTCACTCCTTATGATACTCCGCTTTGTGTAAATTCTCACAATTTATTTATTAATCAATTTTTGTGTTCAAACATATTTTTAAATATGTAATTTAGTTATTAATTTATAGAATGATAGTTAAAATTCATTTAAGATGGTCTGACTTTTCCTTTCGGTTTTTCCTAAAGTAATAGTATGTGAAATAACTGTTATGCAAATGTAGAAAAGAAATTGTGAAATACATTTGTGAAATGTAATGCTACTCAGGTATTCTTTGTGTTTTGAAATATTCAGTATAAAATAATTAATTTAAGTTTAGTTTTGCAGCATTGCTCGAGACTAAGGGGGGACAATTTTCATTGAAGATAATTCCTATTAAGAATTGGTTAAATTATAATCCTGTTTCAATTTTGAGAGAGAACTGATAAATAATTAATGGATATGACTGGCAGCCTTTTAGTTCGAGTTTTTCGGCAATTGTTTGAATATGTGCTTTGTACGTAACTTTGTGTCAATCAGAATTCCTAGATATTTGGCTTTGTTTTTACAACCAAGTTATTGTAGTGTAGCATTGTCTATTCATAGAGATAAGAGTGTGGGGTGGCCAAATTTATATTCGTGAGGTGCACGGAATGAAGTGTGCGTCCGTAATAATCGGCGCTCTAATAGACTCAGGAGATCCTAAGCGCTGTGAGATTCCCTTTCAAATAACCAACTCATCGGCAGCACTGTTCACACTATTTATTCTACTAGTGCGAGTGAAATTAAGATTGGCCATGGTCTTGTTATTTTACTACTTGTGTAGCATACTTGCCATGTACGTACGGAAAATAACTTGTCTGGTGCAATCTCCGTGGAAAAGACATATAGCTGTATACGTTTTAATATGCTGCAAGTATTGATTGAATGAGTTTTTATTGGAATGTTCCCCTCGTTTATAGAGGACTTCAGTATGAGACTTTTCCTCAAACATACATCACAGAAGATAAAACGTTGTGTCACTTTTGCATTGTATAGATTGCGTTTCCTATACAATCGAAGTATTTTTCAAAAAAATATTATTTCTATTTCGAAATAGATGGATTTTTAGGTTCCGACAAGCTGCAACCCGTTCTCCAGTGGGGATAAACTTTTCAAAAAAATTCGTACTGATTGTAAATTTTACCGACTTTACTGATTTATCGCTAGTAGCTTAAAGTTTGATAATTTTTACCTTATTAATGGACATTTGTGATTGTTTCATTCCAACACGAACAGTGAATAAAATGTCATATGTGTCATTACTACCGCCATAAGACTCTGTACTACAGGCTTAACGTCGGTCACGCTATTCCCGTTTCCTTTCAAGCGACCCGTGTTATGAGCTTTTCAACTTCCCATTCGCGCGTAACTTTACGCGTGGAAGGAAATACTAGCTAGTAAACTCACCCAGAAGAAACGAGTCATAAAACTCCACAGAGTCTGAGGTGAGAAGAACAATTCTTTTTTCTCCGTCGTATTTTTATTGGCTGTTACGAACAAGTTTTTTACTAATATTTTTAAAGTATAAATGGTGGAAATTTCGTTTAATTTAACGTTTTAGGTCTAATAATAAACACCTTGCAAACAAATTTAGAAGTTTTTTGAGAGGAACATTCTAAGGCACTCAACTTCGTTGCATCAGTTTCTTGGTCTTTAGAGGATTTTTGAACTTGAATAAGCAAATGAAATAACACGATAAATAGATTTTGGGTAATTATAGGTATAATTGCATTAATTTTATTTATTTTCAGTTTTGAGGACGAGTTTTGAATTCTGTATCTCATTTCTGTTGCAATGGTATACTTGAATGGGGTACGTTGTGTGAGGAGGAATACAAAAGATTGTTTGCGTCCTTATTGCAAATTTTCTCCAAATAGAATAGAAGACTTCTGGTTGTGAAATTAGGAAAAGAGTGTTTTTCTTTTTACATGACATTTCCCTTTAGATATGTCGTATAAAAACAAATTGTTGTGTGCTCAAACGAATGTAAATGAATATGTCAATACGACGGTTTTTGTTTCATGACTCTTGAAGTTTAATGCATGTCACCAAAAATGTATATTCAATTTCAGTTATTTTCATTGCACAAATATGAATTGTTTTAATTTTAATTATTTCTTATTGCCACGCTCATTACCACGTTTCTTTGAAGTATGCTTGCCATGAGAAGTATCCTTTCCGTGTCTGAACATACAATGCAGCATTTTCCAAGAGTCGGCGCAAATAATTTGTTATTGCGGCAACCACAAAATAAACAGTGAAGTATCAGATACGCATTTTGATCAATACGTGTACACAATGGTCTGATCATCACCACTAGAAGATCCAACCTCTGAAGTTTCACAATACCTGAAAACTAGGCAACAAAGTATTTATAAATGTAATTTCATCTCCTCATTCGCCACGATTTTGCAGCTGATTTCTCATTCTGATTCATGTACATTTCATGTAAATTAATGTTTATTAATAAACATGAAAATTTTTGCATATAAGTCAATACTCATATTTATCCTAACATTATTTTTTAGGTATTATTCCATTTCAGTTTCGAAATATTGTCTAAAAGAATCACTCGTTTTCCCACCATTTTAGTTCTAAATTATATTACTAAGCTTTTGATGAACCATGTTCATTTACTGGCTTTGCAATCCGCAATTTACAGTCATGGGCGTTTGAAACCAAACTATTTTAATAACACCTCTGCTATGACCGACTTTCCTCGCATCTGAGGTAAGCTACTACACTTCGCCTCCTGTTGGTACATAGCGTATGTAAAACTAACGAAGATTCTTATACAGGTATGTCGTAATAAAAGCAACAAACTTTTAGGATTTGTAGAGTAGGGGGATCGTAGAATTGTGCGTTCGGATGTTGCCTAAAAATTACAGGCAAATATCATGTTCCAATGAAAAGAAAGGCAAACTTCGTAAATAAGCTATTAAGACGATTTTAAGCAAAATTTGTCTAATATAAACTACTGGGATGTTCCGAATCGTTGAGCTGCAATAAGCACTCAAAAATTTTGGCTTTAAAAAATGCTTTCTAGGCCACGATTCGCATTGCAGAAGTACAGAAACGCTCGCGAAACACGTAAATTCTTTGTTATTTAAACAAGAAATTAATTTGTTCAGAAAGAAAAAATTAACCCAGAAATAAAAAAACAGTTGAATAGTGAAAATTACTTTCACTATCCAACTATAAAAACTTTGTAAAATTATCATTTATATTATATTTTAAAATAAATAGGTCAGTGCGATGATTGTTAATAAGCATCATTCTATCATGGAGAGAAGGGTTTTAATTAACTGTAATTTATACGGGTAGTTTTGTATGTTTAGTTCCGCATCGTGCGTCAAAAGAAGCAACTAACACAGAAAAACCGCTACTCCCTTTGTTAATCGCCAGGCGACTCCTCCGCCTGGGCTGCCAGAGACAGCGTGGCCACCCAAATCACAGTGAGTGCGGCTACCCAGCACATAATCGTTTGTAATTGGACAATTTGTGGTCGCGCGGCGAATTCATACTGCTGCCCCTAACCGTCTGTGTGGGTCCCATCCTTCATTAGCCCCTACTAGCTTTCCTCGCGTCCCGCCCCGCCGCTTCTCCCCCTCGCCCCTCGCGCCAACTGCGCCTGCGTCGATCAATGGGCCTCGGCCGCCCTCGTGGACGCCCTTCGGCCTCCGCGCCCGCTCCGCGCCCGCTCCGCGCCCTCTGCGCTTTGCACACAAGCTGCCACCTTCTCTCGACCCCCTCGTTTTTTTTGTTTCAAGCCAGCCTTTCTCTCTCTGTTCCTTCCTTCGTTTCTCTCTCCCTCTCCCTTCTCTCTTCTTTCCCTCTTTCTTCTCTCTCTCCTCCTCCCTTCTCTATATTATTTTCCCTTTCCTTCTCTCTCTTCCTATTTCTTCTGTCTCTTCCTTTCCATTATCTTCCTTTCCATTCTCTCTCTCCGTTCTCTATCTCTCCATTCTCTATATCTCCATTTTCTCTCTCCCTCGATTTTCTCTCCCTTGATTTTCTCTCTCTCCATTTTCTCTCTCTCTCTCTCTCCATTTTCTCTCTCTCTCCATTTTCTCTCTCTCTCCATTTTCTCTCTCTCCATTTTCTCTCTTTCCATTTTCTTTCTCTCCATTTTCGCTCTCTCTCAACTTTCTACCTTACATTCTCACGATCTCCTTTCCTTTTATTACAATTACTGCTCGGATATTTGCTTTCTGTTTTACTTCGTCTCATTCTCTCGTACTTTCATATTTCCTGCCCACTTAATTGTGCCCTTCCCTTTACTGTCTTACAAAATATATTCCCCCTATCTCGTTATGCCCTTCAGGGCCTAACCTTCAGGCCTCCAACCCAGTGATAACATTCATTGGGCTAGGTCGCTCGGGACATTTTCGAGGACACGGCTTCTGAATCAGGGACGTGTAGATCGCGAACAGATCATGGGACGGGATCCGAGGGCCACCTCTCGTCCCTAGTGAACCGCGAGGGGGAGTTTCTTCTCCTCTGTTCCGGAGCTGGTCCAAAATCGGAACAGTCAGAAGGCAAGATTAATGAATCTGAATACGATAGTACGTTTGTATTTCTGGCAGCAGATCTACAACCGCAGATGGCGGACATTGTTCGCACTGATTGGCAGTCTTGAAGTTATGTTGGTAAAGACGATTTGAACGATATTTGGACCACGCACTCGGGAAAAGTAGATAACGATGCTGCACTGGTACGCGCTGTAAATGACAATATATTGACTATAGAAACGTTTCATTCACAGAAACCAAACATTATTTACCACGAGCAATTTCTTACAGTAAGCTATGCTTGCTGGATTAAATAAATAATCTGTACCTGCCATTAATTTCGAGCTGCCTAATATTAGCAATGTACTCGTGATTAGAAAACCTAAAAATTAATATATAAATGACCACTAATGACCATTAGCACTATAAAATTCAAAAACATATTGTCATGAAACAAACGACAGTATTACAAAATTCATACATTATCCGTATGAACGTTTTAAATGTTTAAAAAGGAATATAAGAAAATACTTTTGCGTAAATTACGCATCGTCGTAAAAGTCAGAATCACTCTTGCAGACTCATTTGAAATTTTAGTATAATTGTTATAGTTAGTTACTACAAATGAGAGAGACATCACCTCTTTATATCAGTTCCTGCCTCTTTTCCCCGTTCTTAATGAGAAAGCAGTAAAGCTGTACTCCTCACTTCATACTCTCCTCAGAGAGCGATTAGTGTCCTCTTCACAACAGTAGTCATAATTCCTGTGACAGTTCTGCAAGAATGTCGGTGATAAGACTTAATGGCTCGTAAAATGAGAAAAGGAATTGAAAGATAAAGTCAGTTTGAAGCCAAGATACGACATTGCAGTCCTGCACTCGGAAAGATTAAGACCCTTTTAGTGACAAAGTTATAATTAGACGACTTGTTGATTAGCCTTCTTATTAGAAAAACCTCGCTGAGTAGCAAAACACTTACGTCAAGTAGACCGAACCATATGAATAATGTATTCCGATTTATGAACCCTCGTAAATGTATTCAATATTCTTATTTTTAAAATCTATCTAATATTAAAATAAACTTATTAAATTACGATCAGGCAATTTAAATTATAATAATAATTTGAAACGAGTCGATAATAAAGAATGTATTTCTAATTTTTTTAGATTATTACAAAAACAGGTGAAATGTAATCAATTGCTTTTGAATGTTTGAAAAAACCTTACAGAGATGCCACTTTTGCCTCCGATTTGGTATCTCCAAAGCAGTTCTAATTTTGGTAATCATTTTGTTATTAGAACATTTATTATTTAGTAAATAGCATATCGGTCATAAATCGATAGCCAGAAAAGAAAAGTTTGCAAGTTAATGAAATGTCTAAGAACAGGTCTGTCCGGCGACTGTTATCGGAAGCGCACTGCCTGTGGAGACTTCCAGAGCACTACAGCAGCCAGATTGCCTCAGTCACAACGTTCTCTGCTTCTGACATAGGTAGTTCACTTAGCAGACCGACAACTTAATAGTTTTATGCTGCGTGAGATGATCTGTTTTATTTTGCTTATGCAGTCAAATTATAATACTGACCCCCCGCACAAAATACATGGCTTTTTAAACTCATTAGCGGCACGTGTGTTTAATTACGAAGTGAACGAACTGAAAAAAATATAAATACACCAAGTATTTACTATTTTACTTTATTTTTAATTTGAAGGCTGCGTATTATTTGTGTTACCTATTTTTTATTCTTACTTCTGTTTTTATTTTAATATTACAACTGATACAGGAGATGAACTACTACGTATGCAATGTTCTCTACTTTATGATGTATGTAAACGAGGAATATTGGACATTTGATGACCTACTCATACAGCAAGTGAGGTTATTTATCGTTCTAGCGAGAAAAATGATAAAAATGTCAATCAGTAACAGGACGGATAAAATAAGTACTTCGAAGTTGGGGTAATTACAATAAAAGTATTAAAAAAACGGGATGTTTTGGAATATAAATTTCTTCTTGAAATGTACTTTCAGACTAAATGAGTATATCCCTGGATGTGATACGATCAATATGTGACAATTCTTTGAAATAAAATTGAGTAAAAATACAAACAAACAATTCTGGAACTGTAGGGCAAGTCTTGTCGGCCCTTCCCTCTCCTGGGTTCGCCGACGTTCTGCTATCTCGGTATTGCTTCTCTTCATCAATTGTTCAGGAACCGCCAATAGTAATAATAGCCATAAATTAGCTTGTTTTTTATTTACCAAATCATAAGGTCGAAAGTCGTTACTGCATCTAAAATATGTAATTTACTCTCTTCAAGTAGACATATCTATGAAAGTTATAAATACGATTTGTAATCAAGTGAAAATAACATTCCTTCTTTTGAACCCCCAGAATATGTAATCAAAAACATGTTTGTAAAACTCTCCCATTGCAGTTGTTTGTTTTGTAGGAACATCATCCACACCGTTATCACCAATTCATTAAATTGTGAATACCTTTGAATTTTATTTTTGCTTTTATCATTTCGTTGCAATTCGTTCTCATGGTTGTATACGAGAAAAGAACCCCATAGATGTAGTTCTATATAGAAAGGGTTGTTTAGTTAAACAATCCTGTATCTATATTAAAATTATCGACACAGGGAAATTGAAATATGTTGGAAGAATATTATTCTCTTTCAGTGCAAAAACCAATTAAAACTTGAACATTTTAGCATCGTCTTTCTATATGCAGTCTGTGAAATATATTCCAACTAGTAACTAACTACGTGTGTCATTACGGATGTCCATCGTATCCATATACTGTATATTTTTTTGTGCTTGTCATTGCGCTAACTGCAACTCATACTGATACCACAGTGTACGTAATTATACGTGTAGTATGTTGATAGCTTATCAAAGAAGCACGGGAAATTCGAATTTGCAATTTCAAAATTTTGTAAAATTACACTAAATTACTATTTTTTAAAACTTGTATATAATATTTTTAAAGAATTAATTTTAGAACAGATTTAATCTAATAAAAACGCTAAAAATATTGTAAAGTTGCAATATTTGCAATATTGTAAACTTGCAAATTAATTTTTTGTTGTTTGAAATTTAGAAAAATGCAAAGAGTTTCCCGAAATTGGGACAAGTCGCATTTTCTTTACCGTATTTTGTTACATAAAGGAAACATTATAATTAGTTCTGCCCGAAAATAATTGTTTAAAAAAATCCTGTTTTACGCAAAATTACGCGAAAACTACTCATGTGTTCAAAAAATTGAATATCATCAAATTTGAAGATTTTTTTAATGAGCAAGTTTAATTGAGAAAACATTTTTAACTATGTTATTATAGCTGTAAGAAGACACCAAAAAATTGTATTTCTGAATATTTAGAGAGATCAAAAATTCGACCTACGCAATTTCTTTAAGCGACGTTTTCTCAACCAAAGCAAAAACTCTTTTTCACAGCAATTTCCAGAGAACTTTGAAAATGTTTTTGAAGCTTCGTGTAAAGTAGCCCCTAAAATTAAACTATCAATTTCAAATTCTTTAGATATTTGTTTCAACCCTGTACTAGTTTTCCAATATTTAAACGCGAGGTTCCTTTCTAAATACAATGTATCCAATAATTGAAAATCTTTAAATGGTATCATTGTTTTATTTTAAAATATGAAAAACTATTAAATGATAGCATTAAGAGGAGAAAAAGCTGGAAGGACTAGTTAAAATAGGAACTTGACAGTTGTAAAATATTGAAATGAATTCGCTATACTTTTTTTCTTTTTTAAATTCTGACAGGATGTTTCATGTTGTCATAAATCACAAACCTGACAAATCTAGTGATGATGGTTTAAATTCCTTCGAACTGTTTTGTCTAAAAACACACTTCTCTCTAGTTCTGTTCCTGCATGAAACACTGTTAAATACGAAGACAAAACAATATAGTAGTTTGTGTTCATCACACAGTGTAATGTTAAAACACAAATTACATAAATTACGGAGGAATGTGATGTTAGGTAACTGTATGTTATTTAAGTCCGATAATTAAGAAAAAAGCGCGAATGTGGGTACTTTCCTGTAACTATTTCCCACTCTCAAAGCTATTATTAATTCTGAATTGAGAATCAAAGAGAATGAATTTCATTTACGACACTGCTGATTGGGCCTGCACGGAATGCAAAACAGAGTTTCAACTTCATGGACTAGAGTCTTTTGAAATCATAGTCTATAGATTGGATATTTTTGGCGAAATACAATATTATTAGTGCATCACAAGTAAAATAAGTCTTTTCAAGAGCAGTATTACAACGGCAAGAAAATGGCGATGTTATCAGTGACTACTTTGTTTACCAGAGCAGACAATAGTAATTTACATCATAAGAACCGAAAATGTTACATTACGAGTGAGACGTTTCCAGTTGAGGCGACATTAGGAGACGAGGCTGGAATTTCAATCGAATATTGTAACACCTTCGCCAGTGTATCGTAACATGTTTTATTTCATACGATGTCGCATTTCCGCTCTTTTATTTTAATTTCATATTGCAGAAATTTCACGATGAATGTGTTTCAATAAAAATTCGCACACGGAGCAAAAACCCCCTAGAATCTGTATATCTATAAAACAGGCGCAGCTCCCTGAACATATTCAAATGGAATTTGAAGACAAAGAGATTCTTCCAAAAGCGATAGTGTATAAATTCAATGGACAATATAATACCTGAGAAAATGTAAGAAATGTATAAAAAAATGAACAATTTCCATTCTTGAATAAATTCAAATAATATTAACATTGTTAATGAAGATATAATTTTGGCGTACTTAACAGACTTGGTAACTTAACTTAACAGACCTACTATACACAACATTTTAATGGATTCTGCAACTAATAATAGTAGTTTTGTTAGAACCCAAGGTGAATTTCGTTCCATAAGATCAAAATATTCCATGATTAAATGTAATTGAATCATTCTAATATAGATATTTACAAGTTTTATAATTTGATACTGTTTCTTAAGAAAACGTCGGTTGGATACACGCTGAGACCATCGAAAACTTCTACAGGAGACGAATTCATTCGTGCGTCTACAATTAATATTACCATAAATATTTAGGATTCTTTTGTAAATAATGTTTATTTTTATTTAAGAATTAAAAAGAAAAAAGTTATCTAACTTTGTCATCATGAAGTACAGTTATTTACATTTTGCATGAATGTGGCTGCTCTTGCCTACCTGGATGACACCGCGTCACATGCCGTGAAGCGGACGTTTCGGCCATTTTGTCTCCGTCTTCCTCGGGGCAGTTCTCTTGCGTCCTGCAGCCCTGAGAAAGACTACGACAGATGGTCGAAACCTCTGCTTCATAGCCTGCAATGCGGCGTCTCGCGAGTAGCCAAGAGCACTCACAAGACTCTAACCGCGGAAACCTACGACTTTATTTTGCATGTACGATTGTAAGTTTATTTCCCATTGTAGTCAACTCTATCGTTGGTGCATAAGCAATAAGACATTATCTGTGTGTGAAATGTGAATAATTTGTGTAGCATAAAATGCGTGAACAGTGTATTTATCGGAAGCCGATTAAATCATTCCACCTCGACAACAACTCGCAGAAATATTTAGTATTAATTAGAAATTTAAGATCCTAAGTGTGTATTATTGTTCAAACGATTTTATCCAAAGCTGAGCTTACTTCAAATTTATTTACATAAGCGTCGATCGGGATGTAGGAACATAAGCTTTTCCAATAATCTAGTTGTAGCACTAGACCTCTAAAAGTTATTCGATTATAAAATGTTCAGTAACATCACATAATACTCATTAGACGATGTCGTGAAAAAATACTTTTCCCAGAAAAGAGTATGACAGAGCTAGGGCGGATAAGATTTCAATGCTGGTATGCATGTGTGTATGTGCTCGCGCTTTGCTGGCGCAAAACAAATCTTACGCGTGCATTTCCTGCGCAAAAACTTTTATCCAAAGCTTAGCAACCTTCAAATTGATTGCCAAAATTGTCGATCGAGAGGTAGGTATATAAGCTTTTCCAATAAGGTAGGATAACTTTCCCTCTCAAAGTTATACGACGTCAAAATTTGCAATCCCTTCACATAATAACTGTTAGACATGATGTTATGGAAAAATAATTTTCTCTATGTGAGGGTGCTGGGGAGCATGTGTGTATGTGCGCGCGCTGCGCCGGGCGCAGGAGACGGTGGACACGGGCGACGACGGCGACGGCGACGGCGAGGGCGGCGCGGGCGAGCGCGAGGGTCCGCGGCGCCGGCGCCGCCGCCGCCAGCAGCGCCTGCCGCGCACCGTCGTCAACCCCGACGAGAACTTCTACTTCTACTGGCTGTTCGTGCTGACGGTGTGCGTGCTCTACAACCTGTGGACGCTGATCGTGCGCCAGAGCTTCCCGGAGCTGCAGTCGCAAGCCTCCAGCTTCTGGCTGGCGTGCGACGCCTTCAGCGACGCCGTCTTCCTCCTCGACGTCGCCGTGCAGTTCCGCACGGGCTACTTGGAGCAGGGCCTCATGGTGTACGACTCGAAGAAGCTGGCCGGACACTACCTGCGCTCGAATGCCTTCCTGCTCGACCTAGCCGCGCTGCTGCCGCTCGACCTGCTCCAGCTCAACTTCGGCCCGCTGCCCATCCTGCGCTTCCCGCGCTTCCTCAAGCTCTACCGCGTCTACGACTACTACTACATGGTGGAGTCGCGCACCGTCTACCCGAACCTGTGGCGCGTCGTCAACCTCATTCACATCCTGCTCATCCTGGCCCATTGGTTCGGCTGCTTCTACTACCTGCTGTCGGAGGCCGAGGACTTCCAGGGCGACTGGGTGTACCCGTATCGGCCCGGGGACTACGCCACGCTCACTCGCAAGTATCTGGGCTCGCTCTACTGGTCCACGCTGACGCTCACCACCATCGGCGACCTGCCGACGCCGGAGACGAACGCAGAGTAAGTGGCGCGCAGCGCTGCCCGAGCGCCGCTCTCCTCCGCGCGCCGTCCCCTCCTCCCCGCTCTCACCCCCCCCTTTTTTTCCCCCCCCCTACCCATCCTTTCCCCAGCGCCGCCTCCCTCATCCAACTCCCTCCACACCCACCTCCCCCTCCGACAACCCACCCCACCCCTCCCCCTTGCCACCCCAACTTCCCCGCCAGCGCCGCCTGCGACTCCCGCTCCGCCCTGCGTGCACGCACCGTTCCACACGTGCCTAGGCCGTGCATGGCGAAATAAGCTCGTTCAGTCGCTTCCATGTCGAAAATAAATCATTGCACTTACCACCGTGCGTAAACAGACATTACGTAAAAATTATTATTCGCAAAATGAAAAATCATATATTACTGTGATGTGTTTTTTTTCTGAATGTCATAAATGGAACAAGTTTTTCAATTTGTGCTATAATACATGTTGAAATCACGTAAAAAACTGAAATGAGCATTTTTACTTTTTCCTCACAATTTCTATTTCAATTTCTGTCTCAAATTTGCTGCTTTTAAAATTAGCTAGTTTTGGCTGTTTATTTGCGCAAGGTAAGAGCAAGGATAAAGAATTTATATCGCAGCTGTGTTTAATAAGACAAAGTATTTACTCATTTTTCAGCGTCTAGATTAAATTTCAGTATACATTCGGCAATCGTATTTGCTAATATATTTAATAGTTCCTCACTTTCAATACTTATGCAATAAATTATCTTTCTCCATTCAAAGAATATTATGATTATTTTTATATTCTGTACATGCACGAACAAGAATACAATATGAAGATTCCGAAACCAGATTAATTTGTTCAACATATCAAATCAGAGACAAATATTATTACTCACTAAGGAAAGAACTGAAAGAAGACTTGCATTTACTACGACAATGTTTATTTGCATGGATTCAAAATTCTCACGTCCTCAATGGTAATGGGTTGTTTTGATGCCATTCTATGCAAGATCGCAAATTGAACCCCGCTTATGGCATTCCTTTCGTTCATAGTAAATCTGAAGAAACAATCCCTTCATGAGGAAATAAAATCACTTGTATTTTTATCATTTTAATACCGTCGTCGGGGAATTCAATAACTCATTTTTTCAGTAAAATTCAATTTCAGTAGTAAGGCAGAAGTTCTGGCCCAAATTGAATGCTTAAAATGATTTCCTCAGTATATTCAAACATTATTTACCTTTCACCTTTATTTACACTATTTAACAAACCCAACGTATTTAGCTTTGTTACAGTTTTTAAGGTTTATCATACCTGCAACAGCTAAAACTGAGAGCTGATAATATTGTGTTCTCGGAAGCATAAAATAAATACGGAATTCTTATGTAAAGTTCGATAATTCATTAAAAATGTTTTGTTCGAATTACTTAATTCGGATTTCTATCTATTTGGAACTTGATGAATCCTAAATGTCCTCTAATACTATAGCTATACTAATAGCTAACTGGTAGAAATAGAACATTGATTCTAAAATAACTTTTTTCTCGTAATGTGCATTATTGAAGGTCCGATAACGAAATGTTTCCAGACTTTATATAAGTACATGTATGTACATACGAGTGTTAAGCGTAGATTATAGGGTGAAATAGAGACTTACATTTCAGCCCATCGTTATGATGATTTTTTTAAATTTGTAAAAACGTAAAATTTGATAAAAGGAAGTTGTTTTGTAAGATTCGTGAATATCTTACTATCGTGACTAATTCTACATATTACATTACACTAGCACGCGTACATTCATACATTAACATTCGACTCACTACATATCTTGATGTATCATTAAAAACATCTCTAACATTAAAGCCTCGCATGTTGCACAATGAAATCAAGTTTTTTTCCTCCAATAACCAAACCACGTCATTCACACATGGCTTTCAATATCTATAGGTCACACGTATCACCCCCACGTGTGATTTTCCCAGGTGAGCAATTCTCTCGTCAACAGAAATTGCAAAAGCTACCCATCTCTCTTCCCCCGACCGCTTCACGTCAGCTCCATGTCCGCACGCAGTGGCAACTTGTCATCCGCACGTGTCACAGCAATAAACGCTCACTCGCGGACATCGAAAAGTAACTTTCGGCCACGGTCACCGATGGTCACCGGGAGCGTTTCCCGGGGGAGGCAGCGTACAAAAGCTCTCTCGCATCCAGGAACTCTGGCGATGCCGCACCGCCTGCAGGTCCCCGTCCTACTCGCCGTCCCTTTCATTAAATATTCAGTTTTAGTTGACAACTTCGTTAAAAACTCAATGCCCCGTCCGCCCGCCGCCCTCACCGCCACTGACCCCGTTCACCCCCTCCACGCAACGAAGAGGGGGGGCGGGGGCACACGAGGCGCTAATGACGCGAGAGGCCCGGTAGTGCGCGAATTTCCCTTCCTCAGCGGTGCTCGTTGCAGATTGGAGTACGCACACAAGGTTCGTTTTAGGGCTTCCGCTCTCTTACTAACATCTTCCTGTGTTACTGACACACTCGAAAATTGACTCTTGTGCCGTGGAATAGATTTAAACGAAATATGCGAAGGACACTGGAATGAAACACGAAATCGGCCTCTAAAATCAGATTGGGCGTCGCCATGGGAGAACGTCTTGGAGTTTACATTACTGATTGAGATCTGTAATTTGAGTTTGGCCAACTTGTATGCGCAGGGAGTGATGCGTAACGGCAGAGCAAATGTGCTGTTCACAATAACGGAAGCGTCCACGTTCTCGCAGTGTATTGTGGTGTGCTGTTAGATTAGCTACACATATTGGAGATGCTGTCTTTTAATGCTTTAAAGTATGAAGTAAAAGAAATTTTTACTAGTCATTAGCTCAATTTTATTAAAAAATGAAGTTACACCGTTACGTTTCAATTCAATACGGAGCGCTGTGTTTTTCTGCAAGAGTAATATATGTTAAATTCTGAAATATTTTTAAAATGTGTAAAAGTATATACCTTAGTGAATTTTCTCTTTTCTATATTTTCTATTCAGTATATTTTGATAAGTAAGAAGAATGTCGAATTAATATTATTGTCGTAAAAATAAAATATCTCGAAAGCAAATATTCAGAAATTTCAGAAAGTTAGGAGTTTCATTCAGAACTACCAATTATATAGAATAAATGAAGACTGCAAAGTATATTCAAAGAGCATTTTTTTGTAACATGTTATTAACTCTTCGGTAGCTTAAACATGGAGAATCAATTATTCGCCTGTGTCAAGGTATTTCCGAAAAGTCACGTTGGTGTCACATGTATCATTTACAACTAGAATCGTCGTCGTTCATAAAGTTAAATACCACATCGTAAAATGAGTGTATTAAATGGTTTGAGAAAATTTCTGTTTGTTTATAGTGTACCTTAAACTTTTTGTCATGATCCCTGTATTAATCAGAGGAATGTAGATTCCCTCTAGCAAACCCGATCTTGGAAACATAGTTTCAAGGGTAAAGAACTTCTGAAGTAAACTTGGGCGAAAGTTATTGTTAATAATAAATGCCAAAAATAATGCTAACGAAGTTTTGTTAATTGCCGATAAAAACGTTGAAGAATCCAAAGCAAACTTTTATTTAAAAAAGTGTTTCCTGTTTTTTGTGTTACATCATACACAATCTGTCCAAGGTTGCAAAGTTTGAAACTGTAAAATAAAAATACGTAAATTATTAATTATTTGTAATACAAAAAATAATGGAATCAGTTCTCTAAGAGTATTTGAGAGCAGTACGGAATAAAATTTATTTACAAAAATAAATCAAAACTTTTCAAAAACTCAGTAATAAATAAGTTACATGAAATTGCATTTTTTGTACCTGCGTCTAACGTCCTATACTTTATTTTAAATTCAATACCTGCGAGGGTTGTTCATTTAAACTTTTAACCTTGTTGCAACTAGGAACCTGAAAGTTTCTATTAACCTATAAGGAGTTGCAACGACCCTTACAATATCGGCTAATTGACTTGCAACGAGACCCCTGTCGTCGGCCAAATATAAAGCTAATAGGCACCTAATAAAAACTCGGGATCTCGCCTTTTTAAAAGTTCCGCAGTAATACTTTGGACTGGGATTAAATGGGCGTCTAACAATTTTCCTTTAGAACGTTTTGAATGACTTGACGAAAAACATTATTATTTCTGAAAATAATTTATAAACCTCGGTTTGTCCGTGTTTCCGTTCTCAATACAAGAAACTGTACGAAATCTTGCATTCTCCGGAAGAATGGTATTGACAATAGATCAAATAAAATTTTAACAAAAGATTTGCATCAAACCGAACTAAAATTAGTGTTTAAATTACCACTAAAATAATTAAAAAACTTCCCATTCTTCTCTTATAAAAAATAATATTGAAAATAAATAGGCACGGTGGTTTGTGTCTACTAAATCTAGACATGAACAAAATTTGAAAAAGACATGCTTACATACGATGTTTGCAGAATGTAAGTTGTTCATAACAAATGTAATTCAAATAAAGCACACAGAACTTGCTTCATATTCAATGTCCAGTATTTTGAGCAACCCTCCTTCACGAGGGTTCACCATACAAGTCCTCATAAGCTATGAAAGAAGAAGTAATGGTAGTCACAACTTTGCCAGGAAAGACTCTCCATAGAGGCACCAGCGGTGGTGAGAGTGCTAGCAACTGAAATTATGTTGGTACCACGGACTGCAGATTGTAACAAATGAAAAGATAAATTGCGTACTCACCACAAACATAACAGATTGCAGAAGTGTCCCCTTCACTTCTTTCCCAGTTATCTGGTTGCTACCAGCATACAATTATTTTCTAATAGAAGCCCCTGATTCAGCTCGGTGCGGAGATTATATCCAGGCGCAGTGTATAGTATAACATGTCGATGAATCTGTGTGTCTGAAACAAGGTTAGAAGTTAGGTGTATTTTTGTGTAGTTAAGGCGCAGTTTCTTACACAGTCCATTCAAATCCATGGACTCACATTAAGCAAAACAAGATACAATTGAAAATCACAAAT